TGTCAAATCTGAGAACAGCCCCATTATAAAGGACTCTGCTCTGTGACTCTAAAATCATAGAATCACAGAATGGTTTGGGTTGGAAGGGACCTCAAAGATCATCCAGTTCCAACCCCCTGCCATAGGCAGGGACACCTTCCCCTAGATCAGGTTGCTCAAAGCCTCATCCAGCCTGGCCTTGAACACTTCCAGGGATGGGGCAGCCACAACTCTTCTGGGCAGTCACTATACTTCATACATAATAAACGTCATAAAAACGTAACGGTTAATCTGCATGGGTTAACAATGTGGCACCTTTCATTGCCACATTTGTAAATATAGAATGCCTTTTAGTTGATGAAACAACCTAGTATCATTTGAGAAGAGTGGTTCAGGTGATAAGCCTAAATATTGGGATTCATTTCCCCTTTAATTGCCTCACTTCTTGTACCACGAGGGTGGGAGTACAGCTACATGGTCATCATCAGGTACCGGGGAAAGCGAGTCACGTGGGAACTACCTCTTCTCAAAATAGTGCATATTCACTCCCATTGCCTTGCATTTCCCCTGCTTACTGGTTTCACACTCTATCCATAACCTGGTTTGTTTCTGTGAAGTCTCCGCCGAGAATGACTGACAGGGGTTAAACTTGGCACTCTCCAAGGCTGGAAGATGCCAAAAGGAGAGTAACTTTATTTTCCGGTGTCACAAAGCACGTATTGTTCTCACTTCATTTTCCTCCAGCACACTGTTTACACAAAATAACGCAACAGGGTAAACTTCAGAGGTCTGATAATATATAAATGTTCTGGCAGCAGGATAGGTAAAGATAAACATTTTCTATTAATGAAATAATATATAAATTCATCTTGATTTAAAGAGAGTTGCATTATAACATCGAGTAAAACAATCCCATGATAATGTCATTACTTCCCAGTTCCTTCAGGATTGGCACGAGATGGCAAAAGACAATGAAATTGCCAACTAGCTGGGAATAAAAGATTAAATAAGAGAGGTGTAAATCTTAGTGGGACAATATATACTTGGGGCAAATCAAGGAAACACTTTATAAGGGTGCTACTGCGTGAGCGTATATATAATGTAACGTACTACTGTAACACAACGTATATTGCTATGTGACAGTCAGCCCTATTCTTCAAATAAATGTGATCTTTTTTAAAGGCAAAGAAAAAACCTGAGCATGAGCTCCACTCTTCATGGAGTGCTTAGAAATCTATACAGTATCAGCTGGGCTTCACTTCATTTTGTAGTTTTCCCCTCAAAAAAGTGACCTGCTTTCCCGTACAGTGAGAGTGATAAAATCAGGAGGACTTTTCCTCTGTTCTGAAGGGGTGTCATTTTTTAAAAATTTTGTTTTGCAAAGCTAGTGTTAGCAGGTTTCTGGGCTGACATTTATTTGGTGTTATATTTACTTAATTATAAATATTTCTACAAGTTCCATCTGTGATGATGGACTGGATGAGTAACTGGAGATAAAATTAGCTTAAATCAAAATCAATAGAAAGGATAACAATGTCCACGCTCCTGGGAACCACATTCTGCTGATGGTTTCATTTCAGTATTTGCCTCTGCATTCCACTCCTAAGTGTTACAAGGCAGAGCTCAATGTCCCCTTCTGTGTTTTTGTAATATTTTGCACCGTTTGGGTACTGCCAAAAATAAATTATAAATACTAATGCAAATATATGGTCAGCCAAGGAGATCTGCTTAAAAGCAATTACTGCACCATGGTATTGTTAATGTTCAGCTGCCAGTAAACATTTCTTGGCAAATGTTTACGCTGTGAATGCTGATCATGCACTACTGAATTATTCATTTGATGTCCATCAGTGCACATTTGTAACCTAAGATTTGAAACTGAGGATTTTACCCGTAAATCTCAGGTTTATTGCCACTCACTCTCTTCACCCAAGTATCCTTTTGGTTTCAACAGGATTAATGGAATCAAGCCAACAGGACTGTCTTCCTAATACTTGAATTGCACAGCTAAGTGTGTGAATTACAGATTTAATAAAAGTCTTCAGAAAGGGGGTGAAAAGCTCTAAGTTACATTTACTCTTTGGTTTGTTTCTGGTCCAGGAGCTATCAGTCTACTGATATTGTGCTATTACCAATAGACAAAGCAAAAGTTTGGTAACTGAAATAGCTTTTTACCACCGACAGCCCAGGCAGTGTCCTTCACATCTGCTCCTAACCTGAAAAAACAAACCAGATGTTCGGGCTATTTCTTTGTTCCCTTTTGCTCAGTTAGGTAGGGCATGCAAACTTGTATTACACTTGTTACAGTACAGAAGAGCCAAGAGTTAGAAGACAAAGCTGAGTTAAAGCCCCAGTCTTAGCTTTCTACAGCAAAATGAAAACTGATCTGAATTGGTGCCATCTCATTTGTAAACACAGTGAACAAATCACTGATGCTGCATTTCATGTTTTGTGACTAACCTGCAGACAGAGTCTCAACCTCCAAGACTAGTTTGAGAGATACATGGGAGCAAATCCTATATAGTGCTTGGTCTAATTCTACTTGTTTACTAAACAAACCTGAAAACTAAGGAAATGGATCAACAGTTCCTCATTTCTCCATCTCCTGTAAAAACACAACCACTCACTGCCTGCACTGGGAATGGGATTTACGTTCATTTTGCATCTTGCTCCAGTTCTAAGATGAGTTACTATGTAAACTACTGATTTCAATCTGAGTAGCAGCAATACTGTTCTTAAACGTGTGTGAACTTTTATCAGCATGGCGTAAATAATTTGGCACTAATCCTGCAAACAGTGGGAGGCTGAGCTTATCTGAGGGTCCGTGTTCAAGCATGCAGAACTGAGACCTACAGATGTGCACTACAACATGTCATAACAAAGTCAAATGCTTGCTAGGATCCTGTATCTTAAGGACCATCTATAACCAGGAGGAAAAACAGTCATCAGGACTGAGTTTTAGCTTGGACTATCTTCATAGTTTCTCCTGAGAGTGGAATACAGGGTTTGCTAATCACTAACAAATCTAGAGCTTGGACAATTCTCGTTTTCAGTGTCTAGCTATTGCTGGACACTTATTGCTTGCTATCTTTGGATGTAGGAGAGCTGGGAATGTCCTGGAAAACTGTCCAAAAACACTACTAAAGCACTGCAGCTCAACCTGCCCTTCCATATAAAACATTGGAATTGTGAAAACTATACTAATTGAAAAATTTAAGGCCCTTTCACTCCTACAGCTATAAAACGCGAAAACTAACCCCTTAGATTAGAAGCGAACAGGCTACAAAGCGTACGTAACTCCTCAATTATCTACCAAATAGTTTAAAAAAACCCAGAAAGACCAGAGAATGGTTTAATATTTTCTGTAGGAAGATGAATAGTATTGAAATTAGGATCCATTAGCCCTTTCTTAAATCTTCCTGATTTTTATGATACTGGATATGTTGAATGGCTAAAAAACCAGTGTAGCCCTAGTAGCAAATCAATCCAGGTCCTTTTTGATCACGATTTTCAAAAGGGACAAGTGACTTCACTTTAAGTGGGCGCTTTCTGACAATGAGCTCCTTCAAAGTACCAGGATTGCAAAAATCACTTGTCACCTCTGAACACCTTTGCTTTAACTGCAGAGTTAAAAATAATCCTGCTTCTGCTCCCTTTGCAAATCCATTTTTGCACGGGGCTCGAGAGTGTAAATCCAGAGAGGACTGCTGCCAGCAGTACTTCAACTGCACCTACAACATATAATACAGAGCCGAATCTGAAAGACAACTATATGGAGTTGAATTCCGAAATCTACTTTACTTAGCAATGTAGACTTTTGATAACCCTGAAAGATTTTCCT